TATAATATAATAATAAATACATATTATATTAATATAATAAATATGTTAATAATATAATAATAAATATATATTATAATAAATATATTATATTAATGTTATTGTATATATTTAACATTGTACAACGTGGTCCACGTAATTTGCACATTTGAAATAATTTTTAAATTATTATGCGTTTAATTGTTATACAATACAAAAGTTGTATGTATTTTAAGGGACCGGCGTATCAATTTTTGGCGGGTTTCGAAATCTTCAAGGTCATTTCTACTTTTTCAAAATTGGACCATACATTTCTTTTCCATCATAAATCGAAAGGATATTAAAAAAAGTATTAAGCCACATTGGTCCTAAATTTAATGGCTAATATAAGGCTACTTTTACGACACTTTTACGATAATTTGTCTCGACGATGAAAACTGCGTAGTATCGCCAGAGGATTTCGACAGTGTTTATAAACATCAGTGTTATTATTTTATGGATTCGGACGTAGAGTTAGTCACATTCGGACAATTCATTTTGTCACATACATATTACGAGAAACTGGCAGCTTTATTATTGCCAAATGTCGCCGAAGTGGTATCATAAAAGACAGAGATAACGAATCTATTAAAATAAATGCATTAAAAATTATACGTACATTTAAAAGAAAAAAAAATAAAGTTGCGCTTCATATGTACTTTACATTGAATTGAACTTTTTCTTCGAAAGAGAGCAAGTTTCATTTGGAACATTTTTACAGATAACAGAATATCGAAGAGACTACAGTAGATCGTCAATTAACCGACCTTTAATTAGGTCCGCAGAATCAAGTTGTTCGGATTGTTTATTAACAATTAAATATGAATGAACTCAGTTTCTTATTATTCAGAATTAAAATTAATTATGGAATGCGAGAATGTGTGTTACGCGAGATATTAATTAATTTTCATGGAAATACTTTGCAGTTCCGTGGTCTCATCTTCGGGTGGTATTGGTGGCGATACAATTTAGTCCCGATAATCGATAGTTCGAATAATTTCAAATAATTCACATTACATACGGTAACTTTATAGATTAAAACAGGTCACCCTGTACATAAATGCTACTAAGATCGACAAAATATACATCTTTCTATATACATATATAAAGTTTCATAATGCTGTCAAAACATACGGTAATTATATATATATATATATATATATATATATTGTTTGCATAATTATAGGTCCTGCGATGAAACGATTATGATCACGGTAGCGATGTAAGAGCGGCGAAAGATTATCAGGTTCATCAAAAAGAGAAAACAAATATAAATATTCCTCCGAATATTAACCCCTTGTCTTAAAATAATCGAGTCGCACTTGTGGTTTTTCGAAGCTCGAAAGCTCCTCGATTTGAAAGAAAAGGTAGATTGTGTATTAAATTTCAAAATTCAATTTCTCTAAATTAAACGTTAATAAGCAATGCAAATTAATATTAACCCCTTGTCTTAAAATAATCGAGTCGCACTCCTGGTTTTTCGAAGCTCGAAAGCTCCTCGATTTGAAAGAAAAGGCAGATTGTGTATCAAATTTCAAAATTTAATTTCTCTAAATTAAACGTTAATAAGCAATGCAAATTAATATTAACCCCTTGTCTTAAAA